GACAGGTGGTGGTACCTGCCAGACTGAGCATAGGCTGGATAGTGGAGTCTGTTGGGCTGAGCTAGGCTTCAATGCCCACTGACATGTATGAAAGCTGAATAGGATGTGGGAAAGACTGTATCAGTCTGCTGCATATACTGGCAAGCACAGGAACTGGGACTGGGGGCAAGCCTAATGGGGATTATTGGGGGTTCACTCCACAGTTCCTGTTGAGTGTATGTGAGGGCTGAGTGTGTGGTGGGCAGGTTTTGGCTGGGCCGCAGTATCCATTGGTTTGTGTAAGAGAAGGGACTGGAGACAGAACTGAGCCAGCAATTGCAACTACTACCAGTGTAGGCTGATGTGGGTGGTGAACTGAGCTGACCCCTTACTGACAAGCACACGAAAGTCATGTCTGAGATTACTTCAGACAAGGTTTCTTTCAGGAAACACTCTCCTCCCCTGCCCAACTGAACCACTGAACTGAGAACCCCAACCATGGGGAGAATCACAGGATCTGTGGTCTGACCATAGAGTACACATGTCAGAAGTGGGCCTTTTAGTGGCTTAGATGGAATAGAGTGGACAGCAGACTCAGATGCACATGGAGAATATGGCAGTCCATTGGAGCCTACAGAGGACATCTGACACCATAGCAGAAAAGGAAGGCAGACCAAATTGGTCAACTACCTCAGGCATGTGTTGACAGCAAATATCTGGGTGATTGGAGAATCTAAGCTAGACCATGTCAGCCAACGGACCTTAGAACGATTTCCTCGTCCTTGCGTCAGTGAGGTCAGCAGCATTTCAGAAATATTGAAACTACTTGAGCAGAACCCTCAGACCATGCTCCACCCTGGGGACTTTGGGATGACATCAGTGGCCATCCCCCCACTGAGGAGGTGGGGCAATTATCCCTTTATCTCTGTCTTCCCCCAAATATAGGAAGAAGAAAAAGAAAATTTGAGATCAATGGTCTAACATACCTTCCTCTAATCCTCAACCCTTTCTACCCTAATTAACTAAACATCAACAAAAATAAAAATTTAAAAAGAAGATATTTTAAGTTGGTGTAATTATTGAAGGTGGCCTTACATTCATATGGAGTTTATAAATATTTTCTAATGGGCTAAAAGATGTCATAAGATTCAGATAATTCCTTCAATAATATCATTTTTCCTAAAATGCTTCCAGAAAGCTATTTTAATATATGAGACAATGATAGAGATGAGACTGTAGATCCCGTCTATAAAAATTAAATTGTTCCAAATCAGGGCTTAAATACTTCCAAATGTTACCTTTTTTTTGATGAAATGTTACCTATTATCTATATTTGATGAAATCGTCAATAGAAATTCCTTTACTCTTACATGTTTTCCCAGGAAAACTTCATGATCCAGGCACTGGGATTATGAAGCACTGCATATGGTTGCCTAAAAATATTGTCTTGATAATGTGCTGGCAAATAATGGCAAGCATCTTAGAAAATACAGATGTGGAAAATGACATGTACTTTTATCTTCAAAGCTATTGTCATTTTGATTTTGCTGAACATAAATTTATGATTAGAAAATTCTTTAATAACTGCTGCATTTGTCTGCTGTTTTATAGTCTTGAGTGTCTAGGTGTGTCTGAGGATACTTCAAAAAGTTTATGGAAAATGTATGGTATGAATAAATTGCACAAGGTTTCTGGTATATTTTTGACATCAAAACAAATGTGTCTTTAATTTCTTTTATATAAACACATTTTGAGGTATTCTTACAACTCATATTTGAACATAGTTGGATTTTACATGTCAAAACTTCATGACATGCTGGAATGTATTGGTTTTGGTCCATTCAATGAACCACTTAGAAAACAGCCAATTGTTAAAATGATCATTAGTTATTTTAGACCATGTATTTAAAATTCTCCAAACTGGTAACCATATTTGAATTGGAAAGTGTTGAACGAGTATGAATTTCCTAAGGGAGTCATGTCAAGTGTGGTACTAATAGCAAACTACTGTGTGTTTTGGAATGCAAGTAAGAACAGTCATGAGGTTCTTGAAAAATTTATATGGAAAGTGATGTTTATCTTTAGCTTGTCACCACTTTTTTTTCTTTCCCTCAGTCCTAGTTTTGACACTCTATGCTCTATTATTTGTTATTGCCTTCAATTATTCATTCACATCCAACCCAATTATTCTTCAAACAAGAGTAAAATATTTTGCTAGTGGAGACACAAAGATCTGAATTCAGAGCAGCTACTTACTTTGCAAAGATAACAGTATGGTTAAGTCCAAGTATAATCAACAGAACATGATAAACATCACAAGTGAATGGAGAGTTCAGAGGATGTAAGGAAAAAAAACCAAAAAACACCCACGATCCATCCCAGCTGAGATTTAGGTTTAGCCTTTTTAGAAACACTCCTTCTCAACCAGAATTTCTCAACTGTGGCTATTTGTAAGAATCACCTGCAGAATTTTTCAGAAGTCCTGATTCTTACACCAAATACCATCCCTACTTAAAAACAAAATGGAACAAAACAAAATAAGCAACAAACAAACAAGCAACAAAAAAACCCTTTGTGGATAGGACCCCATCATCAGTATTTTTCCAATCGGCTGATCCAATGTGCAGCCTCAATTGAAATCCATGAATCTAGACATCCCTTAGAATGCTTTGGGGCACTCTTATCATTTACTAATCTGTTAAGGCTCATGTTATACTAACATCAAAATCACTGCAGAGAGAAATGGCAAAGAAGCATAACTTCAGAGAAAATAATCACTTTTCTTATTATCTTAAAAAAATGAAATAGCCATCGTGATAAGCTGTTTTTTTTTTTTAAAGGAGAATTTAAAAATTGTTCTCCTCCCTCCAAATAGCTGCAAAGATCCTGAAAATCAGTGGCAGAAGTTGGGGTAAGGTAGCAAGAAATTTATTTCGTTTGGCTTGCATAGAGTTTGAGATTTTTGGGAAACATCTGAGGAAGGTGAAATGGGGGAGGTTCCATTAGTGTGGTTAGATAGGAAGGGGAAAATACAATTGCAGTAGAATGGTTGATTCATTTTGATAACATTTACGATTTATTTCAATACATTTCACAATATTAGATCAATGGGCAAATAATTGAGCCCTATTATGTGATACAACAACAAAAACGATAAATTGTAAATCATGACTAAGACCCTGACCCTTTGAGTCAGTGTGGTGGGTGGGGAGACTTAGGGAGCTCCAACAAAAAGCCCTCACATTTAAGTAGTGATAAGCTTGTGAAATGAGTTGGAATAGATACAAAGAGTTTGTTATTGGCAAATAAAGTGAAGTAAAACCACTCATATGTATTCCAAAATGTTCTGTTTTAGATGCAGTGCCTGAAAGCATGTTTTTTGTTTTCCTGATAATGAGAGTATAAAGCCAATGGAGAGGACAGACCTAACCGAAGTTATGAATTAATTCAGTAACTTTCAGATTCTTTATCAACCAATTGGAGAATAGCTTATAAAGATTGATAAGTCACAAACAATACCCTCAAGATTCATAATCATTTCAAAGATTTTTTCCCTCCCTTTGATATTGCTGTGATCTCTAAGGCAGGTCAAATCCTTAGGGCATACGGACACACATGCAAATTTTATGCAATGTAGATCTGCTAATGGTAAAATGAAATTCTTGGCATGAGGATTGGAGGGGACTCTTCTAAGCATGGCTGTGTTCCATGAAGAAATTTGCTCAAATCATTTGAGTGCAAGTGGTTAAATATTTTTAATCCTCTATTAATTTACATCAGAGTCTTACTCTGCATTAGGGGGTGGAAAGTTGAAAGGCTGGCAGGACCCTTGCAGGACTCCGGAGGAAGGAGGGGTTTTGAAAGCTAGAAGAGTGAGCCTATGTTTCTTTAATTAAAGGGCAACATCTGCTATGCCCAGCAGATTACTGATATGCAAAAATTAGGCCCAGTGGTTACTGGACTTGGTTTTTCAAGAAAAGTTAAATTCACATTTAATATAAAATCTCCTAGCATTTTCTTTCAGCATCATGTGGGCCAAAGCTAACTCCTCTGAATCCAGGCGTGTGCAACCTTTGGAATCTGAAGGTCCCTTTCACTGCCAATGTTCTTTGCTCTAGGAGCCCAAAAATAATTGTATCCATCTCGCATGAAAGACGCATGCTAAAAATTATAAGTACAGTTGAAACTCCATCTTCAGGTAAATATTCTCTAATGCTAGTGTTTCAATGTCCATAATCAATGCTACTGCCTAAGAAATCCTTATGAAAACAATGTCTTTCAGGATGTTATTTACTTAAACACTGTTTAATTTTACTTGTTTGGTGACTAACTCCAATTCTCCAGGATCAAATTTTGTTTTGTGCCAACTCTTGGGAGGTAAAACCTTAACAAACATTAAAACTTGTAGAGTTGAGTTTTTTTTTTAAAGTCTTGGGGACGCAAAGGCCTTGCATCCCACCTGTTAAAGACTGAATGATGTTTGTTCAAATCAATATGTAAAAACCCTAAGTGGGATTTTTAAGGAGGTAATAAGGGTGAGATCCTAACCCAGAGGGTCTAGAGCACCTGTAAGAGAAGGAGGCAGCAGCAGTGTGCAATGCACCTATGAAAGGAAGGCTGTGTGGAGACAAAACATGAAGGATGTCATCTTCAAGCAAAAAAATTCTTTTTCTCCATGAACAGCCCTAATGGCACCTTGATTTTAGATGTTCAGGTTGTAGAACTGTGAAAAAAATGTTGCTGTTAAGTAACTCAGTATATGGTATCTTGCTATGGCAGCCGGAGAAAGTGCCAACTGCAGCTGGCCTGATGTCTGGCGCCTGATGTCTTTGGGCTGTCAGTTCTTCACAAGTTCTGACCATTCTTAGAGAACTACTGCTCCTAAACTCCTCTTTTCATTTGACTTCCTGTTCAGAACATTATGGAAATTTCTGCATGTTACACTGGAGGAGTTACACCCCTCTGAGAAATATGTGACACATTATTTGTGATGGAGGAACACAAACTATTTTGTGACTCACCCGTAAAATGTGAGATAGAGGAAACCAATCCTTTTCCCAAGTTTTATGATTTCTCCTCGCTTGTCAGATGCCCCTGTCAGACGCACGATGCCTATTTTCTTGAGGGTAGAGAGCCACTTGTATGCCTGTTCATCATGTTTTAAAACGTCATCAAAATCCAGGGTAGGTAGCTCGAGCTCTGAACCCCAGTACTGGCATTCTGTGAATTAAGAAAATGAAGAAGTCAATTGAAATAACATTATGTTTATATACATCACTGAAAGAACTATTTTCTTAGAGCTATTATTGATTTATCACAGAGTTTATTAAATACGAGACATATTAGGAATACCAAAATCATCAGACCTTTGCTGGATCTGTGCTAGTCATTATATAAGGGTACTTCCAAAAGTTCAACAAGGTTGGGTTCATAGCAGATATTCCATATACTTTAAATGTGGAGGATTGTTGCTTAGTTTGCACAGCCCTTGGTCTGTATGTTGTCATAACTTCTCTCTAAATGCTTCTTAGAAATAGCCCTGATATATTGTGTGTACCAACAGCCAAGTTACATTGCTTGATTCCAAACAGATGATAAAATCATAATGGTAGAGTGAAAATATTATAGGTCAGATTGAAGTGGTATTTGCCAGAGTAGGCACTGCTCCTTCTTCCTCATAGCTCACTTGATAAGAAGCTGTCTTGGAATGAGGTCACCCTTTGGAGTCAGAAACAGTTGCTCATGGGGAAGAAAATGCAGACATGCCTTTTGGGAACCATAAATCCTTTAGAACCAGTGAAACTGAAGGGATGGTGAAATACCTTTCCTTAGCTCTCTTGTCTCTGATTATCTAAATACTGACCCCCAAAAAACAACATTTACTTGAAAAAGCAGAAAGAAAAACAATTGCATAAAATAACTGGCTTAAAAACCAGGCTCATCCAAATTAAGTGTGAAACAGAGGGAATGTGATTTTTTTTTAAAAGGTATATTTATTTTTATTGCAAAGTCAGATATACAGAAAGGAGGAGAGACAGAGAGGAAGATCTTCTGTCTGATGATTCATTTTCCAAGTGACCGCAATGGCCAGAGCTGAGCCAACCTGAAACCAAGAGTCAGGAACTTCTTTCGGATCTCCCATGTGGGCGCAGGGTCCCAAGGTGTTGGACAGTCCTCGACTGCTTTCTCAGGCCACAAGCAGGGAGCTGGATGGGAATCAGGGCCTCTGGGATTAGAACCGGTGCCCATATGGGATCCTGGCATACTCAAGGCAAGGACTTTAGCTGCTAGGCTATCTCTCAGGGCCCTGGAAATGCAATTTTTTTTTGCAGGGAAGCAACTCAGGTAGCAACAACTGGATTTAAGAAAGACGTGACTTTAGCTCATACGTTGGAGTTATTCCTTTCTTGAAAATGCAATTGATTTCTGAAAGCAAAACCATCCTAACAAAGACCGAGAACTTAGATTTTAATATCATTCTGAGCAATGCTTTGCTTCTGAGACTGGCGAACATATCACCTAATAGGGGGAAAAGCTCAAATCCCTCAGTTCTAAGATAAGAATGGATCAATGACACTTGTAGCAGTTGTTGACTAGAAATCTTTTCCTCTTTGGTGTCAAGATAAGTTGTTTTCTGTATGCAAAAGATTCTTTTAAGGGGCGAGACAGTGACTTTGGTATTGAAAAGTCAAATAGGTGCAGGCAGCCACTTCTTGTCTATTGACTAGTTGTTGCAAAAGGACGTTTGCAAAAGCTAGTGGTTGTGTGCATGTAGGGAAATTAAATCAAGCGAAAGTTACAAAAACTGCCAACATTTTGGGGTTATTAAGCATAACAGTTTACATGATGGGCCAGAATTTCCAAGATCTAAATTACTAACTGTAAACTGAGCCTCCATAGCAGCTGCATTTATTTTTTAGCCTATACTGATAGTTGTTATTATCAAGCACATTGTAAAGGCTCATGTTACTCTGTATTTTCTCAGGAAGTTGAACTGATATCCATTCACAGGTTCTTAACTCCTATAACTCCTCTTTCCATGGGACTAATCAGAGCTGAAAGAACTATAATCTACTATAATCTATGATATGTTTTTGATTTAACATTGCTTTTAAAATGTTTATCACATTTGAGGAAACCTTGTCATTTAATATTAACCAAGTCACTTAGGTAAGAGAAGCTGGTCAGTCCAAGGGGCATGCTGTTCAGACCAGAGCAAATGGGTTAAAGCAATAACAGACACAATATATGAGAAGTTAAGAATAATTACTATAGATATGTTAAGATATACACACAGTTTCTTGAAACTCATTGAACATATTAACTATTCTACATTTATCTGTTGGCTGATACTCTCAATAAGCTTAACATTTAAGTATGTCACAAGATGTGTGGCACAGTTTTAAGAAATTTACGGTGTACAGGAGAACTGGACATGGAAACTGGCAATGAAAACATTATAATAGATGCCACTGAGTTAGCTCAGAACGCCATAGAGGTACCAGATATTCTGTGCCCCAAATAATGGTACTGCTCCATGGCTTTGATGCTCCTTCATGTGCACAAGACTCCCTCATGCCTTCACTAACTTTTCTTCTAAAATCAAATGGTATTAATTCCGTATGAAAGAGCTTTTCAAAGAGGCAATCAGCTTGGCTTTGCTCTGAATATTGACTAATGGCTGTTTGCTTTCCTACTCCTATTTGATTATTGCATTTTATGTTCCCAGATTATAATATCTGATACAAATCAAAAAGACTTGTAAAGAGAAAGTAATGAATATTACAAATATTGCATATTGGCTGCCTTGCTAGATAAGTCATTTGGCTTCTAGTTAGTAGAAAAATTTGCTGGATAAAATATCAGCATCAAACACATAAACTACAAATCACCATCTGTTATTTCCAAAGTTTACACCTAGGTGTAAATCTAAATACTGAAAACTGCTATAAGTTATATTGCCTCAAATAGAATTATGGGCCCACAGAGTATTAGATGTGATGTTAGAAATTAATCTGCCATTCTTGTGTAAGCTGTAGCATTTCTCACCATTATCAGTTTTCATTTAACAAAAGTTGCTTAAACTGTTGCTTACAACTCTATAACAAATATGCTTTCTTTACTGTTGAAATGTAATTTATTAGAAAATACTTATTATAATTAAAACTATTTTTTATTGGCAGTTACCCAGCCTAGAGAAATGGTATGATATTCATTGCTGTATTGTCCAAGAGAAGTTTCTGCAATGATTGAAATATTTCATACTTTCAGTTCCCAGTAGTGTAACTATTAGCAAAATATGGCCGTGGAGATTTGATTTCTGTCTGGTAGAATGAAGAACTGAATTTAAAAAATTTAGTTAATTTAAATTAATTTAATGCCACATGTGAACAGTACTACATTAAACAGAATATGGATATGCATGCAGAGAAGCATGGGTTTGAATCATTGTCCTGATTTTTACCAGCTAGTTTCCTGGCTTCTTTTGGGAGAGTCAGTCTCCTACTTTATAATATAAGCTTATCCTGCAGATTCTTTATGATCGTGCAAGGGGATTGTGCATGAAGTCTGATACAGTGCTTGGCACATGGTAGAACTGTCACAACAACAATGAAAATGACTGTTGCATGCTGAATGTTTTCTAGGCATCAGACACAGTACTAGCTGCTTAATACAAACTAATTTGGTCACGCTCCACAACAAATATATTGGATATATTCTTTTATTATTGTAGAGAAAGGGGCAGAGGTCCAAGTCATTCAGCTAATGATTTACAGTGCAAGTCAGTGAAATTCAGAGGACTGATTCCAAAGTCTGTAATATTAACTACATACAAAATAAACATTTGATGTCTTGAAATACCATCATCAGAGGTATTTTTATGTTCGATGTGTCTGGATATTCACAGCCTATATTGTTCTTTGTAAAGTAGGTTGACCAGAACAAAAATATATCAAGAACACTTTGTCTGAACTTAAGCTTGCCCAAGTATGGTTGTTTAAAGACACAACTCAGCTGCTCCTCAGGATTTTAAACCCAGACAAAACAAGAACAGGGCTGGATGCACAACACTGCAACAAAAACGTTACTAGTCACCCTTTGCAAATTAAGCCAAACCTTTGCATATTTATCCACCTTTCTCCCCTTTATTTGACAGCAGTGTATTTCAGTGACTCATGTTATTTTGTACTTGCTTAAATTCATGATCACCTTCTAAATATTCAGTAACCTGCCAGAGGAATGTAATGGAGATTTTTCAGAATTCCCTAAAATGTCATTGTTTTAAAAACTTTGAGTTTATATTTTGATTCAAGATTCAAGAAGGGTCTTACAGTGCACATTGCATGCATTTATAGCAGGTCTTAATAAATTTTTATTTCTGAGTTATTTTCACACTGTGGAAAAATACATTTACATTGCCAGTATGCACACACACAAATGCTACACATCCTTGTTTTTAAGACTTGGAAGGGGGAAGGCATTTTAGTCTAGTGGCTAAGATGCCTACATTCCACATCAGAGTTCCAGGTTTCTATTAGTGCCCTATGCTACTGAATCCAATTTCCTACTAAAACAGTGAGAGGCAACAATGATGGCTCAAGTGATTGTATTCCTGTCACCTATAGTGGAGAACTATGTTGAGTTCTAAGTTTCCAGCCTAGGACCAGCGCAGATCTGCCATTGGAAGCATTTGGTGAGTGATTGGGTATATGGTTGGCATTCATTTTCTCTTCCTCTTTGTCTTCTTTTTAAGAAATATTTTACTTTTCAGAAGTGAAAAACTAACCATGATTACCTAAAGAAATTACAGTGTGAAAAGGACTATCAATATGACAGATACCATATTTTTCATTTTCAGTTTGTAGTTCAGTGACTTTTACGTTCTGTGGAAACTTAGTTTTTAGTCATAGGTTTCATTGTGCAGAACCATAACCAACACGTTGCAGAATTCAGATGCCGAAAGCATAGCAGAACCAGTGATGGAGTGTGAGCTACTCACATACTTGGTTGTGCTATGTGCGACTTTCATAGCTCACTACATTGTCACTAACAACAAATGCATCATAGTGTCCTAGTTTGTATGAGAAGTAATACTACATTCCACTAAAGTTAACAGATAAAAGCATTGTGTGATATGGGTACACAATATCAAAATTTGATTTCAAAAGTGTAATTTAAGAGCATTTTCCTCTAATTGTAAAACATAAGAACTGGGGAAC